ATTGTAAGGGCAAAAAGGTCATTTGAACCGTGCCCACATAGTCCGTCCTAGGCATGACATAATTTTTTATCCGCTTTCAATCATGTACCTTGAATACCAAGAAATGAAAGAAATTTCCACTTCCTTTACACTTTATCATTACGCATTTTTTGATCCCGAATCCTAAAAGCCTACGGGCTACCCCTACTCAGGGATTATCTAGCCCACGGGCTAGCCCTACTCGGGGACTCCCGCCCGAAGAAAATTCGGATGGCCCGGGCTACCGAATCCTGGAGGCACCAAACCTATTAGGAAATGCCCAAAGGCTACGACCACTGTGAAAGCGGCTAGGAGACGTCCGAAGTCCGAAACAAGAAAGTAAGGCCTCTACAAAAACACGAAACCTACTAAAAGGTTACACTCGGCAAAAGCATTATCTAAAAACATTTAAGCATCTTGGAAACCTTCGATCGCACCGAGGTCTCGAAGCCACGAGCAAACAAAGTAGCATCGAAGTCAGGCTTCGTTCGAACCTCCGAAAAATGAACGCCCCATAACTACATCTAATTTTATGCTGAGGCATAAAAAATAATACATGAATAGTATTGCAAGAAGACGTTGGAAAAGTAATGACGCGATATTGTCAAAAAGGGAAAATTTCATATATACATTCCAAAATATATTTACAAAAGGCCCGATAGACCTCAAAACAAAAAAAAAAAATATATATATATATATATAAGGAAAAACAAAAAACTGAAAAAGTACTAAGGCATCTACGCCTGATCTTCACCGAGGTCCAACTCGTCACCGGAACCATCGGAGCCCTCAGATCCCTCAGAGCCTTCGACACCCTCGGGCTCGTAGAGCTCTTTTGCCTCGTCCTCGAGCCTCTTAGCTTCCTCGATCTTGACCGATAAGTTAAAACCTCAGGCGTGAATCTCTGCGAGGGTCTCTCTTCGGGACAACCACTTCATATATTCGGCCTTTGTATTTAAGCGAGTCTCAGCCAACTCCACATCGGCCTTATACTGGGCCACCATTTCCTCGGCATCAACAAAGGTTGCATCCAATTTGTCCCCCAGTGCCGCATATTCTCTTCCGAAGGCATCCCGTTCCGTGATGGCCGAGCTCAATTGTACCCGGAGATCGTCGTTCAAACTAGACCACTTGTCGTCTTTGTCCTTCGCCACCTGAAGTTGGTTCTCGACCGAATCCAACTCCACCTTAGCAGCTTCTTTCTTCGAGGCCAACCGGTCCATCCTGCCCTACCATACTTCAGTCTAGGCCTTGACCTCGTCCATCTCGGCCCGCAGCTGGTCGATCAGGTCTATCTTCTATTGGACCTGCGAAGTTGTGTTGTTAGTCACCATGACTAGCTGCTCGTTTCTAGATTCAAAGACCTTTACCTTTTCTACCAGGTTGGCATGTTCCCGTTTCAGGATCGAGGCTTCCTTTTGAGCTTTTTCCAGCTTGGCCTGGAGAATTGGGAGGTTTTTAAGGGCCTCGTCCTATTGCTAACTAAAAAGCCCGTAGATGTCCTTCTTTTGGACTTGTTATTTGAGCTCGAACTCGAGCTGGCTGATTTCCAAGCGGTACCAGAGGAAGCTTTCATGGTGGAGCACTGAAGCCTGTAAAATAGTAGAATTAGTAAGAGACATCAAAGGAAAACTTATGTGGGATCCATAAAGGGAGAATGAAAGTATTAGATCCTTACTCGGTTCAGCGTCTGTTTCACCTCGTTGAAGAGACTTGGCGTGCCCACCTCGTTCATCTTTGCCTAGTCATCCTCGGTCACCAGGCATCGGAGGCAGCTGGCTACACTTATCGGAGCAGACAGGACTTAGGCATCCTCCCGAACTAGAGAACAATCGCCCTCTTATGCTCGGAGTCCACACTCGATGCGGGAAATTGCTTTACCAATCTTGGGCTCGAACTCGGCCCGCCAGCTCCCGAGGGCACGTCCTTTGTCGGGATCTCCAGGTGACCTAACTTGGAGAAATCTTCCAATGTGGGCATGTCCATGCCATCGAAGAAGGAGTATATAGGATCATTTGTACCCTGTACTTTTTCACTTGACTTTTCTTTACCCGCTTGGGCCTCTTCAAGCATTGACTCGGTATAAGCGGGCGTCTCAATGATATCGATCACATCGGTCGCCTCTTTCAGAACATGAATGATTTCTTGGGAGGTTGCAGCCTCCATCTCCACTTTGGCCTCTTGAATCGGAAGGGTATCGACCTCATGGCCTCTTTCCTCGGTCATCGCCTGCTCCCCGGCAGGAGTCGATCCATGGGCAACAAAGATGTCGTCTTCTTCGGGCTCATCCCTGAGTAGGTAAAGGAAGTTAGGGTCTGGTACCTTAGACTTAGTATTCTTCTTTGGCTTCCGAACCCGGGTGGCCCCCTTTTTTTTCTCTTCGCCTCGGGATCGGGGAACCCGAGGACTTTCTTTTCCTCTTCTTCTACTCCTCCGCAGTATCCCCGGGTTGTCCTGAAACAGAGGGTTCGATGGGTAAGGACGTATCCTTGTCCCCGTCCAGCGGCCTAAGTTTGGTGGTCTTAGGCAGACCTACGAGGGAAAGGAAAAAATCAGCATTATGTAAACTTGGTGTGTAGTAATAACTATTTAGGGGAGAGCCTTATCATGAGAACGGGTCTCCCATTTTCCCTTCAAAAGTTTGTTCCACATGCGCTCTGAGTGTGGCATCTGCTACTCCTTGAGCCGGGGGATCGCATTAGGAACCTGGGCAACAGCTACACGACCATAAATACTGGAAATACGAGAAAAAATAAAGGGAAATTGACACTTAAGGAAATACTACACTTATGAGATGTGTTCCACTTCTCGGGAAATGGAAGGAACTCGGGAGGTATTAGGTCTTCGGTTTTTACCCGAACAAAATGCCCCTGCCAACCTCGATCTCGATCCTCGTCGATGCTCGAGAAAAGGGCCTTGCTCGCTCAGCGAACAAGCTTGATTAGACCCCCTCAAAAAATTCGGGGACTGTATAGGCGGAGTAGGTGGTCGAGGGTGAATCGAAGAGATTCGATGTTGTACATAAAATAGCGTAAGAGGATCACGATCCTCCAGAGGGACGGGTGGATTTGCCTGATACACATCTCGTACTGCTTACAAAAGGCCAGGATTACTAGATCTATTGGGCCCAGCGTGAAGGGGTAAGTGTAAACACTTAAATACCCCTCCACGTGGGTAGTAACATCGTCATTAGGCCCGGGGACGACCACGTCTTTGCCTTCCTATTACAGTCCTCTCAAACTATGGGAATGGTATCTTCAGTAACGGAACATGTGTACCTCCATGCTTCCTCGCCTCGGTCTTGTTGGACGGAGGACTTTTCGATTTTGAAATCATCGCAGCCCCCGGGTATAAAACTCTTCATAGGAGGCTCATGAGCCACCTTGGGGACGGTCGCCTCGATGCCCATGGTCGGATGGGAAGATGAGGGGGTCGCTTGTTATGGTACAGACTTGGAAATTTTAGCCATCGTGGATATGTGAAATATATGAAGATTTGAAGAAGGAGTATGAAGGTTTGGAGGTTATAGATGAAGATATGAAGTTATGGGTTGGAAATCCAAGAAAAAATGTGAAGGTTTGAAGGTTAGAGATGAAGATATGATGGTTCAAGAAGCGGTATGAAGATTTGAAAAAGTTGAAAGCGTTAGAAAGTTTGAAGGTATAAGCTAGGATCGGAAAATAGAAGAAGTGAAGAGGGTTGAAGCTTTTATAGGGGAGAATGCAATCAATACGCGACGTTTCATGTTCGAAGACAACCAGCCGATGACCGACACGTGTCCGAAGTTAGAACGACGCGACTGTTGGAACGTTTTTGACTTACCCGTCATCTCAGTTACAATGTACGAGGGAAGAAACTGGGGCTCACCTATTCGTTTCCCATCGATCCGGCAAACCTACTCTCCAATAAACGAGGGGACTATCTGTATACGAGTAAAATCGGGGGTAATGCATACCCCGATTTCCCGGTGAAGAATACGGAAGGAGGGCACGAATGCACGAGGATGAAATCAAGGCTGGGAGCCTTTCGTACCAAGACCTATGAAAGATGAACAATAGGCTCATCGCCGGGCGTGATAAGGTAACGCTCCCCGGACCCGAAACGAGCTTTTGAACCTCGGAGATATAGCAAACGGTTACGAACAACTAACGGAGGGCCGTGATATCCATGCCTAACTGGATATCACGGTGCGAATAATGTCGGTTACAGATCGGTAATTAACGAGAAAGGGAGATTTTTATTTTTTTTAGACTTGTACTAGGGATAAAACTCCCCTACTATATAAAGGGGAAGTTTTTCTTTGATAATACATATTATAACACGCAAATCAAGGCAATACAATTTTATTTTTCTGCTCTCTAGCTATAGCAAAACTATTAATTTGCTGTTTGTTATCCATTCACTATTGGTTGCGAACCGAGGATCTGATCGAGAGCCAAATTACTGTTCAACCTAAGTTCGAGCTGGGCCTTAACATAATAACTGGTTTGATTATTCATTTTGTCTTTCATTCGTTTATGTAATATCTTTGATTATTTGTGTTGAATCAATCCACATATCTTTAAAACCGCGTACAAATTTAATTGTTATCCTTTTTAAGAATAAACAAACACTACCGTTATTTGATCAAACAATGCATAAGAAAGAAAAGAAGACTATTCCTGATTTTTTTATTTTCAAAAAGAACTTTAAAAAGAAAAGAAAATATGCTCCCTCCATTTTAATTTATATAGTATAGTTGGACTTAGATATGAAATTTAAGAAAAACATAAAGATTTTGAAATTTTCGGTATTAAATATGTGATTATTTTATTTGTACGGTTACAGTAAACAAGGTGTGATTATAAAAATTATTAAGAGTAAAATATGAAAGTATGTATTAAACGATCATTGTGAACTAGATAGTGTTTCTAAAAGAGGTCGGGATTAGAAAAAGCCATATTACCTAAAAACTACCAAGAAAGGAAACAACACACGTGGCTGGTTTTAAGCATAATCTCTCAATTTCCTTTTCCATCAATCTCTCAATTCTTTATTCCCAAAATCCAAATACGCACATTTTCATTCCTCTGTTTTCTCTCAACACCATTCCTCTGTTTCTGTGTCTGTGTCTGTGTCTTGTTTGGAAGAATGAGTTTAGCAGCGAAAACAGTATGCGTAACAGGAGCTTCAGGTTACATAGCGTCATGGCTCGTCAAATTCTTGCTCCAGCGTGGTTACACTGTTAAGGCTTCCGTTCGTGACCCCAGTTTGTCCCCTTTTCTCTTCTTTTTTTCTCTCTCTATAATCAAACGATTCACTTTTTTTATTTGTTCATTTGATGTAGAAATGTGGAACATGGATTTGTGATTTTTTGATTTGATTAATGACAAAATTGGGAGCAAAAATGTGGGTTTTTTTGCCATGCAATTGATTTGTTTGTTGTTATGATCGTCTGGGCTGTTGCGGTATGGAATTTCAGGTTTTAAAATATCATTATTATTTGACATAGGATTGTTTGTTGAATTGTGTGAACATTTATCTAAAAGTTTTAAAAATTATTAGAAAGAGGGATACACTTTTGTTTATTTATCTATTTTAATTCACGTGCCGGGCCCCAATTTTTGTCTTGGGCCACAGTAGTGAAATGAGAAATTTTTCCTTTTTTGTTTTTTTAATTAATGATGGGTGTCAATTAGACTCGAACTTAGGATCTCTACATGTGTAGATATCACATTGAATTGTATAAACTGCCTAATCCAAAAAGTTTAAACTAGTAGGGAGGAATACACTTTTATTTATTTATCCTAATTCACGTGGGGCCTGATTTTTTTCTTGGACCAAACATGTGAATTTATTTTTGTAATGAGAAGTTTTTCTTTCTTTTATTTTTATTACTGATGGGTGGCAGTTAGACTTGAATTTAGGACCTTTACCTGCTTAGATACAATATTGAATTGTATGGCCAACTTGATTTAAAAATTTAAGCTATATTTATTTGTCTAAGGTCTGCAGTATCTTATTGGATGTTTTGAGTTGATTTAAGCTTCTTATGTAGTCAAATACATTGATAGAAGGCTTTGTTTATGGATGCTAATGAGTTAGTTTTTTCAATTTGACATATAAATGACCTTTTGGTTATGGTGCCCCCAGGCTTTGGTCTAGTGGTAAGAGCGCGACATGTGACGTGTGCGTTAGGCATACTCACAAGGTTCGCATCTTTCCAAGACAAAAGCATGGTAATTAAGTGAAGATGGGTAGAGGGGCTGGCAACCGTGCACCACTTGCCCTTGGGGATTTCTCTGTTATCACGCACAAAATACAAAAAGGAAAAAAGAATGATAATGTGATTATAGTAAGATAGTTTTTTAATTTGACATAAAACTGATGTTTCGATTATGGTAGCCTCAGTTTGCCTTATAAAGCCAGTCATGTATTCATTTTCATGGGAGATGAGGGAAAAGGGAAAATCTACCTGGTTGGGCAGAAAACACAAAATCTTCTGCTGAAATTCTCTTTAAATTAGTAAAGAAGTTGGTGTACGAAAGACATAAAGTTTGAGTAAGAAGTGGCTGATTAATATGTCTAGATTATTTGATTGCTCTCTGCACCTTCCCGCCTCTTCTCCATGTTAAGCCGTCTAATATTACTCCACCACCACTATTATGAGCCACTGACACATTATACCTTTAGGCACTGGTACGTATGTTTTTTGATTCAACGCACTGTACACCAAATCTTATCTCATCCATGACCTTTCGGCCACTTTCTTTCGTTATGAGAATTTCTCTTTATTTTTGGTTAGTGTCTGATGAACCTGGAGAACATATTTTATGAACACTTGGCCAAGTCCTTACTCGACCAATGTAGGGGAAAATGTGTTATTTAGCATTCTCCTTTAAAAGTGCATTCTGAGATTTAAAATTTTTTCCACTTATCCTTTTGCTTTTTCTCCCACCTTCACCCTCCCCGTGTCTTTCTTTTTTTTGCTTTTTCTCCCAGCTCCCCCCNCTATACAAAACCAACTTGCAAGCAGTTAGAGAGTAATGTCTGCCAATCAATTAGCCAGAGCCCACTCTAGATCTAGTCGGTATGGTGCCTTTGCAGATCCTTTTCTTCAAATGTACAACTAAGGTTGATCTTGTTTATTAAAGAAAAGATTACTAAGGTTGATCTTGTTTCGCTTATCACAGGGACTAAAAATTTCAGCTCTCTTAATTTAAGATCGAACTATGAAAAAATGAGATATTTCATTCTTTGCCTGTGTTATTAGGTCGGATTTACTGCTTATATGTGTTGAATCCATTGTGATTTCTTCTTGCAGACGATCCCAAGAAAACACAGCATTTGCTTTCCCTCGGTGGGGCCAAGGAGAGGCTTCACTTGTTCAAAGCAAACCTGTTAGAAGAAGGTTCATTTGATGCTGTGGTTGATGGATGTGAAGGTGTATTCCATACAGCATCTCCATTTTACTACTCTGTTACAGACCCACAGGTCCTTTCCTAATTCTCGTAAATTTGATAGTGGAAATGCTTATCCTTCATTCTAGGTAGTGCTGAGAAAAGCCCATAGTATAATGGTGTTCGACTGTTATCCAGAAATCAATAGAAGTATGGAAATCAGCATCTTTATTATGTTAATATCAAGTTAGCTTTAGTCATTACAGAATCAATATCACCGCTTCTAATCTCACAAGGAGAAATTCAGATGCCTTTGAAAGGAGAGAGATGCTATGCTGATAAACCATCCTGTTTCATTGGATGAGATACTATATAATTTGCATTCCCATTTTCTCTGCTCCTCGTTCCTTTTCTATTTGATCGGTCCTACTCATATTTCTAAATTTCTCTTTTTCACATTGAAGTTTCACTCTCTTTTCTTCTCTTCTTTCCAGCTCCTTTGTTGCTTGGCTGTTTAGTAAATAAATTTAACTTGACGATTCGTGTCAAAAGTAGACTACCATAGAAAACTCTGACAGTTTAGTTTCAAGAAATCTGCTCACCATTGGAAAACATCCTGTTTCATTGGATGAGATACTATATAATTTGCATTCCCATTTTCTCTGCTCCTCGTTCCTTTTCTATTTGTTCGGCCCTACTCATATTTCTATCTTTCTCTTTTTCACATTGAAGTTTCACTCTCTTTTCTTCTCTTATTTCAAGCTCCTTTGTAGCTTGGCTGTAAATAAATTTAACTTGACGATTCGTATCAAAAGTAGACTGCCATAGAAAACTCTTAACAGTTTAGTTTCAAGAAATCTGCTCACCATTGGAAAAACGGTAAGCTTAGCTAGGTGATTTTTTCCCATCTGCCTAAGCGTTAAGCGCTTGTGGGCAGAGTTACTCGGTACCCGGTGGAATTGTCGAGGTGTGCGCAAGTTGGGCTCGAACACCACCATTGTTAAAAAAAAGAGCAAGAAAATATTCATTCACCATTATTACTTGTCCCCACATGTTAGTTAAGTTACTTTTAACCACCTACTAGACTGAAACTCTCACATAAATATGAAACCTTATAAAAATGGTGATTGAATGGTTTGAATCATGTTCGTAAGATAACAATCTTTCCTTGATCTATCTCTAGAACTTTCTCTGCTTTGGATCATGTCTAATGGCTATAAAACTAGACACTTATGGTTGGCCGAGGAAAGTTAACTATAGTAAGTGGTGGGGTGGAAAATAGGTGGGTTAGGCGGAATTTGGCTGGTTAAAATTGGCCAAATCAATAGATGACCCTCCCAAAGTATATTCTGGCCTGAGATGTGTTGAATCAAGGTGGGCTAAACAGTGAGTCATAATCCGACGTGCCAAACTTAACCCATCTTTTGTACATTTTGAAACTTATTTTCCATCTAATATAAAAGTTATATATGAAGCGTGTGTTATCATAATTTCTTAACTCGCTTTGCATGCATGGAATGACATGACAGAAACTTGTAATATCTAATTCGGACTCGTGAATAATTTAGAAATTATAAACGGTATAATAGAAAGATAATTACTTCATTAAAAAGAGGCGAAGCCAATACATTTTTTTTTTTTGGAATTTGGATCCAAGTTTTGTCTTTGAGATTGTTCATACAAAAGTGAAAAATGAAAATTTTTCAGTGATCCGGAAAAAGATTATTTGTAGACTACTGGCCAACTTATAGATATTACACAAATCTAATGTTTAAAAAGTCAATAATGAACCTCAACTGTTCCAATATCTCTTCAATTAGGTTCAAATGGATGAAGAAAGAGACTTACGCTAGGTCACCAAATTTAGCCAGAGTGGGCACCAAAACTCTCTGAGGGAAAATCAAATTAAAGTATACTACTCTTGAAATACATATTTCTCCTTTCAATGTAATTGTTGTGTAAGTATGAAGCTTAAGAATTTTGTAATGTTATTATGGAGCTTTTGTAATAGACCTCTACTAGTTGATGGTGGAACTGTTCACATTTGGTAGTTGCACATAAGATTAGTCATGTTTTCTAGAAACTGAAATGTGTATGATGTTAATATTATTTTATGAAACTGACATAGCCAACTTGCTTACTATGGCACTTTGAGGTCGTTTGGTTCAATTGTGGGATAGACAAGGATATCCCATGGATTAGCTATATATGGGATAGCTAATACCATCATTTTGGTGTAAAATTTATACCGGTGTTAGCTAATACTCATAACCAAACATGGGATAAATACAATCCCAAATTCTATTCCGGGATTAGTATCCTTATCCTGGTAACCATTTACCAAACGACCCCTCAAAGTAAATTAGCTTTATGGACTTCTAGTGATGGTTTCATTCAACCCTAGATTTGCCCGTATTTCAGGCTGAGTTACTTGATCCTGCTGTCAAGGGGACACTCAATCTTCTTGGTTCATGTGCCAAAGCATCATCAGTAAAACGAGTGGTTTTAACATCTTCCATAGCTGCAGTTGCTTATAGTGGTCAGCCTCGGACACCTGAGGTTGTGGTTGATGAAAGCTGGTGGACCAGTCCAGACTATTGCAGAGAAAAGCAGGTGCGCCTATAGTTCTTTCTTCTTCTTTTTGAGCACATTCACGGACAAATTAAAGTGTGCTAATGTTGTGTAACTATTTATTTTTGTATGTGTATTGGGAAGGTTCCAGACTCCACTTGTGGGATTACACTGGGTGGTTGTTGTTGTTGTTGTGTATTTGGAAGGTTAGGGACTTATAAATGTTTAAAATTGCAGCTGACGCATTTCCTAAAAGTTTGTAAACACAATATACACTCTATAAGAGTATAAGGGCTACCTAGATATGTGATGAACTAAATGCACTTTGCCTAAAGTTACTTTTACGATAGGTTGGCACTAATATTGACAAGGCAGCATCATAACAGTGTGCATCTCTCTCATTTTGATCTCAACAAGAACTCATTAACCATGACAAGAATCCAGATTAAAGAATTTCTTAGGTGCTGTTATGCGCAGCACTAATTCTGATTAATGTCGCAAGTTGCTATTTTTGAAGTTATTTATGCTAATTGAAGGTTTTGACAATTTCTTACTTTTAGGTGTTCATCCAAGCACTTCTCTGGTTGATATATAATTAGAACAGCGTGTGTTTTGGACATATGTGCTTAAAACTATGCTGTTTTAGTGACTTTTTAATTATAAAGAATCATCTCATGTTATATTATCTGTTTTATTTGTGACGTATCAAGTCTGGTGAGTACATACTTTTGGTTGGTTTGTTTTGATTGAAATATTTGATATTAGTTGCAATGAGTCTTGTAAGTGACCTCCTTGTTCTTTGCATGTTTAAAAAAAGCAGTCACATTTTCTGAAGATCTCCGGTTTTCAGTCTCCAGGCTTCCTTAGAAAGGAAAACTACACAATATATGAATAATGTTATTACTCTTGGCAACTGCAGACTTTCCACCATTTTGAATCTCTCTTTCTCTCTCTCTTGTGTGAATTGTAGACTCTCCACTATTTTGATTCCCCCTCAAC